CAGTGTACCGCGCGGTGCTCACGTGAAGTGACCCCACCATTCGATTATAAAAGCGAACGGTTTCCCTTCCAACTGCAATTTCCGGTGTGGTGCAGTAGGAACGAAATTGTCGCGCCACGGGACGCCGCGCGCGAAGGAATTTAGCAGGATTTCGGTAGGGAATACAAGAACAAAATGACTAACAGTAAAATCAGCCTAAAGTAAGGATGACATATCGTTTGAGCTGTGTGAAGGAAGCTAGAGCTGTAATAACGGCGAACGAATGGTCCGCGACAGCCGCGTGCAGCGAGTCGATTACAGAAAACCGTTCCTACTGTCTGCCTCGCTGTATTTTCACTTCATAGTGCTTTGAATACTACTAAGACGTCATTGTAGAATTTGTTAATATTACGCCACTTTCTAGTACTTTCATGCAAAAGCATAGAAACCTGTTCTGATTACCTCTTCACATCAAGTGCCCAGTAAATTGCTGTCGGAGTTTTGCCCCAGATTTTCATCGGACATTTACTGGTTTCTTGCTCCTGAATAGGCAATTCTTGTTAACATTAAATCACTGATCTGAGAAGAAGCCCATTACATGATTCGGAATGGGAAGACATACCTCGAACCAAAGTATTCGTATCAATTCGACAGGGATGATCTTGGTCTTTTTGGAGGGAAAATGGTAGTTTTTGATTTGGACAGCGCATTCGTTCACGGAAACAAACTCGTCCTCATACAACACCGACATCACTTTTACTCAGAGCGCCTGTTTCCTGAAAGCATCGGTACCTGACTGGAGCAATTATACTCAAATATATGCGATCTATATATCATGACGAAAGAGAACGAACATTCAAATCGATTGATGGGACTGGGCTGCATATACCACGACAGACAAAAAAATGTTTTCGTGCGTGCAGAGGCCTCAGCATATCGTGGTAGGACTAGCCAATCTTTATAAGTAGGAAAAAAGGATCTAACCACGAAAAACCTGTGTTGCTGAGGACGCGGTGACCCATTTTCGACACGTGGCATGTGTTGACCCACACCCACCGAGATTGGGTTTGATGTCAAATTAGGAAAATGTTACTTGTTTCTTTGATTACGCTCGAGTGAAGGAAGTTTCACAGTTCAGAAAAACATTGACTTCCTTCGGAAGCATTTATTAACCAGTAAAAAGGCTTATTCTTATGAGCCAATTTAACGTTCGGGTTAGGAGTAGAAGACCGCAACAAGACGTAAAAGCTCAATACAACGCACCACAAGAAACTCCAAGGGACAGTTGACAAGAAATGATCAAGAAGAGCTTGCCGAGATATAAGTACCGCAAGAAGAAGAAGTAGTTAGAATTGAGGGAAGACAATTTGCAACAAGGGTAGGCTCTGCGAAGTTGCTGGATCAACGCTAGGGGTAAGGGAGATAGGTGAAATAGTACTTTCAAAAGATGATCTCAGAACACGTGAATAGAAAATTAAGACCTACGTTCTCTAAAGATGCTCCAAAATGCTTGTGTCGTTTTATTTTCAAGCATTCAAAGTTTGCTTCAAAATGTTCTAAGAACGACGTACATCTCGTGCTGCTTTGGACTTATACTTAGAAAGTTTTAGGCTTTTCTTTCAGAGTAATTCTGCGGAATAGCAGATTTTCGAACGCCTGCATTAGCGTTTAACGGCAAAATTTATTGATGAGAGGAGGGTGGAGATGATGTTTTTCCTGTGCGATACTTCAGAAATCGGAAGTGAGCTTACTATGAGTATCCCGTCTGCTAAAACGATATTATCATCTCTAATTCGAATTGAAAAACATTCAGTAGTGAGAAGATTGTGGAATCAATCGTAGATGGCGACATTTGTAAGGATACAAGTAATCGAAGGGCTCATAGCAGTAGGCAAAGGTGTTTTACTCAAGTGCATCCCAAAAAAGATCCTACGTTCGGATTTGATTAAGTGACCCAACATACTGACCACCTTGTGCCCTTACCGTGTGAGTTAAGGCATCGCTAGGGACTGACTTGTCTTCTACTCTTCCACAGAGCTCTTGAAATCCGCCGAGCCGGGGTGGAGGTGAAGGTGAAGCCGAGGTAGACTGGCTATGACAAATTTCGAGTTCTGGATTAATTAGTATGCGATTCTGTGAACGTAATTCGCACGATGACTATATTTAGACTTCGAAAGCGGCGATTAAACTCAGATCGATTAGACTCGTCGTGGGCTGGATAAGGACAGGAGCTAAATATGGATCCCTGTTGATGCTAACAGATCACAATTCTCCCTTCTCACGTTTCAAGAAGAGGCCAGAACGGGGGTATAAATAAAAATCTTGGTTTAAAAATAGCTAATTACAATGCAAAAATATCCGTTAGTCCGTATAAGGATAAGGATTGCAAAGGAGTTGTAATGGTTAGAGATAGAAACTGATAACAACTGATAACCACCTATAAGGAACCATAGAAAGTAACCATAGGGTCCATAACGTTTTTCGAGGTAAAATGAAAGTTCGGCATCTCGGTTTGTAATGTATAGAGTGAAGGGGTCAGATGGCTGGTGATAGAAACTGATAACAACTACTAAATGCTGATATGGGGTCATAGAAGGCAGGTGCTACTGGGTCAGTCACCTTTTCGTGGGAACAAATGACTTTGCCACCTTAATATGTGATACAAAAAACCATGGGTCTCCAATTCGACGAGGCTTCAATGAATCCTAAAAATCCGCATTTGTTGTATCGGTTGAATACGTCCCTTTTTTCCATACACGTCGAACTACGTTGGGTGAAGACCAATTTGTACTTAATGCACTCGTAGGTCAGAGTCGCAAGTATAACTCTCGAAGAGAAGTGAGTTTAGAGAAAAACTGAAGGCAAAATGATGAAATGAAATAAAAACACGATCTCCTTGGTGATGGAGAAGACCGGCTACTACTTTCATAAAAATAGGCTTTGGTTACTAGGGTAATGAATTCTTCGATGCTGCTGCTAGGGAATACAATCGGCTCCTAAAATCAGGTTATAGGCATTCCCACTGCTGTTCACCATAAAGGAATTTTCCATATAGAAAAACGGTGCTATGACCGAGGAGCTCGCCGTAATGAGCTGTGAGAGCCTTTGAATGTGAGCCGAGCTAGTCCGACTCAGATTATCGCCTACGGTGTGGGAGGGGCGAGCAGGCAGGAGCGCCGCCGACGTGTGTGCCACCTGGGAGGCGGCTTTGTTGAGCCCGCTTATCCATATGTTTTTGCTTTATCAGCATGAAATTGACTAACGTTTAGGATTAGCTGCTTAGGGAAAAACAAAAGTAAGCTGAAACCCTAAATGGGAAACCTCTCTAGGCGACATAAGATATTGTTTACGGCATTCCTGAATCATTGATGGGCGCTTTCTGCTAATCGGATGAAACATAACAGGCTTCATGAAGGAAACACACGGAAACAACTACATACTGCAGCGACGCTGCTCAACTTCGATTACCGTCGGCCATGGGCGATACCGAATAGATTCGTACTCAATGATCGCTCTAGTTGGAGACCGATCCTACATTAGAAAAAAAGAAAGAAGTCGTCGGTATCAATTGAAGGCCCAGTTCACGATAATTATTTGTTACCAGGCGGCTACGCACGCTCTCGCGCGCGCTAGGGGCTCTAACCATGAGAGACGGAGCCGCATGAGCTGATTTTCATTATAGACCTTTATCGGATTTATGAGTTTCCGCTCAAACATCGCCTCCTGTGGCGGAGTCTGGTCCTGCCACCCACCAT